CAGAGGTCCCCGTCAGAGCCTGAGCTGCGAGGCCCACCTGGTCTGTCTCTTCCAGGCTCCCGCTGAGGAGCAGCGTGCTGGCATGCTGCTCGAGGTAGCCCATTCAAGCACGCAGTGTGAAGACAAAGGAACAAATTTCTATAAGCTTGAAGTCGGCCTTTTACCATGTCATCCTAGTAGGGCCATACCCATAGAATATCTCAAATGGAGTGTATGACTTTCTTCTGAGATTACACTGCAGTTTAGGGAGAGATTAATGGTTTTGTGCCATATTTTGAACAGCAGTGTGTCTACATGTACTGAGTTGGCTGCCACTCTGTTACATTGGAAGTGTTTTCCTGGTGTTCCAGGTGCCTCCTTGCAGTTTTTAAGTTCCACCTGTTTCGCTGGTTTGTCTGGGGGCTTCCCCTCGCCCATGAATTCTGCTGCTCAGAGGTTTTGTTAGGAAGCTGATTTTTCCTTGTGTCATGTTCTAGGAGTCAACATCATTAACAACCTCTACTCTGCCCTGGTGAGGCTGCATCTGGAATACTGTGTCCAGTTCTGGGCCCCACAGTTCAGGAAGGACAGGGAACTGCTGGAGAGAGTCCAGCACAGAGCCAACAAGATGATGAAGGGAGTGGAGCATCTCCCTGCTGAGGAAAGGCTGAGGGAGCTGGGTCTCTTTAGCTTGGAAAAGAGGAGACTGAGGGGTGACCTCATTAATGTTTACAAATATGTTAAGGGCCAATGTCAGGAGGATGGAGCCAGGCTCTTCTCAGTGATACCCAACCATAGGACAAGGGGCAGTGGGTGTGAGCTGGAACACAGGAGGTTCCGCTTAAACTTGAGAAGAAACTTCTTTACAGTGAGGGTGACGGAGCCCTGGGACAGGCTGCCCAGGGAGGGGGTGGAGTCTCCTTCTCTGGAGACATTCAAAACCCGCCTGGACGCCTTCCTGTGTGATCTCATTTAGGTTCCTGCTCTGGCAGGGGGGTTGGACTGGATGATCTTTTGAGGTCCCTTCCAATCCCCGACATTCTGTGATTCTGTGAACCTTACTTGGCACGGCTGTGTATGATCCCTGGGCTTCCAGTTGAATTTGACCAGATAGCCTCAGGTTATTGCTGTTTTGGGAAACTCAAAAGTACAAAAAACCTTGGTGGATTACAACACCAACAGCAAATCTGTCAGCCTTAGTACAGCAAAGATTTAATTGGGTGTTAGGAAGGTATTCTTATGAACAAAATATCTCACATTTAGGGCCTCTCATCTTAAAGCATTGAGAAAACAACATGTTATGAGCATATGGTTATCTTCCTTGCTGAACGTAAGAAAATTAATTTAAAGTAAGATAAAACACTGAAAAGGAGTTACTGAACAACTGAGAAACCATCCACAAGCTGCAATATTTAAGGAGTCTGGTAGAAATGTTTCATAAGCTTACTGTGCAAGTTGAACACTTGAATAAAAATTACAAGATGTATGAGAAACTACCATAAATATGATTTCCATAGGGAATGTCTCAACTTTGATTATGCATTGTTACATACAGTCTTTCACTGACATATACAAAATAATTTTCACATTACATTTACCACAATATGATGTAATTTTTTTGACTTAATGAATTTTGACATTTTCAACAATGTTAGCTTTGTAGAAGTTGCATTTGAATGGGGCGGAGGGGTTGGTGCTAGAGACATACATGCATTTTTCTGTTAGGTGTTTTGCTATTGTTCATAGTATTTTTTTATTTTAAGTGGTTGCTTTGCAAGTACCAACAGAAGGTTTTCAAT